TACGCTCGTAAATTTTCAACGTTACCGTTCGGAAATCGGCGCCGGCACATTCGATGCTTCGTTCGGGATCGTGCCTCTTGACAGTTGTACAGTTTTTGACATTGCAATGTTGTTATCATTGTATGAATTATCGGTTTTCGTACCTACGAATCAGCGGTGTCAATATTTACTCAGTTTCCGAAGAATTTTTATACATTGATTTTCCTGTTTACAATATTACATGGGAGTATTCTTGAATTATGTTAATGGAACTAATAATAACGGAAGCAAACGTATAACTTACTATTCACTTCCCGTTTAGGTAATGCAAATAAATTTCGTCACGATCTTATCGGAAAATAAACATGTAAAGTGTGTGAAAGATTTTAGTAGCGGAAACTGAAGTGTGTATCATATTATTTATGAAACCGCTTGCGTAGAACGATGGTAAGGGTCGTGTTTACGAGAGGCATACGTCGTAGGACGTCATCTAGTATTGATATCTCAATAGGGAAGTCTGTAAGTGACCGCGTTAAGTTATGGCAGCAATTTTTCAAAGTCCGCCGCACCGGGCCTCGCGGAATTATCGCTCGACTTAATAGAGCGGCTTTAAAGCCAATTATTTGGCGTAAGGCTCACTCAGGATGGTATTTTTTTAACATTTGTCATAGTTATACATCTTGAAGGCTGTTATTTATTGCTTTTGACTCAGTTCCGTTTTAATAAAGATGTGTGTATGATATGCTGGTTGATAAAATTGCAGTCTCCTAAATAATAACTGTAATCTGGCACGCTTACGCACGTTATATGACATTAACAATTTTTCAAATTTAAATTATGTGTAAAAATGTGGGATTAGTTATGTATTGATGATTAAATTTAAAACTGTGTGTTTAATAAACATATGTTCATATATGTCACACAAAAAAATTACTAATTGCAATTACTAATTGTTGAAAAGACAATAATTTCTACAACGGAGTTGTCAGACACTGAGATTACTATTTAAAATGTTTGAACCCAGTTATATATAAGTAATATGTAATGATACGTAGATTGCAAGAATTTTTAATCGATGTTTATAACAAAGAAATAGATAAGTTTTATATCTTAAAATACATAGTAGCAAATGTAGCGATTGTTTTTATCTCAGTCATTAATCTTGATGTTGAAAGTTGTTGAGTATTATAATAAACTTGTACGGGAAACCTGTGATATTTTATTGAACCTAGTATTTGTCAGGCGGATCTTGCTAATATTTCTTCGTTTAGTAGCGTCTGTCGCAATAAATTATTTTACGCGGAAAATTCCATTATTTCGCGCGATGTTTGTACGGATGTTTAATCGATGGGTTATTTGCATCTAATGTGTTTTTATTGTGTTCACGGACGTCCTATTGCAATTTTTTTGCTCGTTTTTTTATCGTTAATACTATAAAAATAAGTTTATATTCAATGATTTTTTGTTATTAACGAGAAGAAATCAATATTACATAATTATTTAGATAACTTGAAAGTGTTCGTCGTCGCATTCATTGAACATTGATAATAATTTATTATTGATAAAATAATAAGAAGTTATATAATGTTGCTAAATATTTCATGCAATAGAATAACATTTGCAAACAATTTCAAGTATTTGAGACAGTTTAATGAAATAAAAATTTTGAATCATCTCATAATTTGACTTCATTTGTCTGCAAATTCACATAAATGTGCAAAGATATCTTAGAAACGTAATTACATAATATGCCTACAATATTCTTCAAATTTCTCAACGTACGGCAAATAAAATTGAACCCAGATGATGCCCAATTATGCGTTGTACCGTAATTATTTGTTCGCGGAGCATGTAAGTATTAAGGTCGCAATCATGATGGGTTCTGTGGCGTATTCGCTGCGTTGACGATCGGGATCTAAGCCTAAAGTTTGGCTTACATGTCTTAGCGATATTCACTGTTGGAATTTATATTTTTTAATTTTTCATACAAAGTGTAAAGTACAAATATGCGACATAACATTTAACATTGAACATTTATTAGAATTCAGCATTAATTAAATAAATAAATTGAATTGTAACGTAATTTATTACTGTGTACCACGAAATGTTTGTACCGCGAGTGGACCTTGCACCATCTTCTGAAGGAAGACAATTCTGAGAAAGAGCAAACCTCACAGGAGACTCACAAGACAATATCAGGTGAACTGCCTAACTTCTGGTATAAAAAAGTATTCCTGGTAGTATTTGAGACAATACGGACTTGAAACATTATCTATCGTAAAGTCAAGCACATGTATTGTTTAACATCTTTTCAATTAAGTTATAATTTTTAAAATGAGCATATTAAGTCATAAAGAGCGATTTACGGTGCAGGAGTTGGCAAATAATTATTGATTATTTATAAAAAAAAACATTTAAACAATAATTCTTTGCTCGACGCTGATGGTCTAGGTTTCAATTTTGCATTTACTTCCAAATAAGTAAGGGTGTAGTTTTTAAGTCAAATATAACGTGTGGTATATACATGTAGGTAGGTAACGCGCAGTGATGTGCATTTCTATTTTTGGATTTTTGAGCGAAATTTAACTGTGTGTACATTTTTGCAGTTTGACTTGAGACAGATCCATCCCTTGCCTAAACGGGTTCAATTAGCTCGTAACGTAAATTTTGCCAACTGTTGCTGGAAATGACTACTAACTAATTAATTCACATGAAAATTCATTCTTAGTCTAGTGGATAATTTACTCTGTACTATTAAAACCATAAAGATCTCAGTCGGTTTACATTCGCAGAGGTTAAGCATTAGTTATTTATAACGTTGCGCAAGTGTAGTAATGGTTATAGTGTTTTAATTGAATACAGAATTGATAATGTGTGGCGGATTCAAATTTTATTGCATAACGTCATTCAATAGCAGTCTTATGTTACGGGGAAATAGCGAAAGAATCTCATTTTCTAATTGCAATTTATTTAGTTATTATTGAATTGGGCTTTTCCAGTACAGAGGGTATTCGCACTACCCCTCATGATCCTACTGCGGTTGGACAAAGTTCACATTTCCATGATTTTTTTATTATTTCTTAGATATGTCCAATTTTTTCATTCTCATGATGTTTTTATTCATTGTCGAGCCCGTGATATCACTTATTTGTGCCGGCAGCAAAATTTGAACTCGGGTCGCTCGAGTTTACTGAACTGAAAGCAAGGACCCGGATACTGAGCCACGTTAGAGTATATCGACTAGTTAGCCTTTGTATGAGGAGTAGAAGATAATTCAATAATTATTTAAAGAAAATTATATAGAGCAGAACATCGTTGTAATTAATGTAGGATACCAAATTCACAATACTCGAGTCTGTCACTAGTATTTTGCAGGATGATTTATTAATATACCAAGTTATATTACATACTACGTAGAATAGTTACGGAAAGTGATTATTGGACGTCGCTGTTTCATGAATACCAGTAATTACTTGCATAAACCATTTGCACTGCAACGCATAATGTAATGTATAATGTAAGTCGATACTCTGTATCAGTCGATAACTGTATTTGTAAGTCGATACAAATTGCTTAATTTTTCATAAGAATAAAATTCTGGTTTTTCATTTGTTACTCTCTACTCTTTATAGGTTTTTGCGGCTTGAAGAATTAAAATATGGGGTAAAGTTATTTAATTTATCACGAATTATAAAATGCATATTTAATAAAGCGATAAATCTGGCCATAGATGCATGTGACTTCGACCTATCTTGGATACGTTGCATTACTGTAACGTTTGTTCGTACAGTAATTGCTTGCATCGGCTCAAAGCCGCCGCGTCGAAATAAAGTTATTCCATCCTAGAAGCTTGGAGGATCCTTGTGTCTAGATTTTATGGAGTTGTTTTGATAAAGTTTCTCAGTCACATTTCTAGTTCATTCAAAATTTTGTTCAAGGTATATGTTCTAACAACGTAACGTCACACACATTTGTTCACAGTACAAGCCCTTTCTTTTTGAAAGCATATTTGCGATTTTAGCACTTTTTATATGAACTGTTTAATTATCTAGATATGTTGTATTTACGAACTTCGTAAATATAATATGTTATCTAGATAGATATCTGCGAAGCTTGCTTAAAATTTGATTCGAACGGAAGCAGGCTTAGCGTCGTGTAAGCAATAGTCAACCGCGAGGGACCACTTTTACTGTAATCCAATGATTTTATTGTGTCTCAAAAGTAACGAAATTGCATTTATTGAATGATTTGAATGAGAACCATTCCGTTCATGCGTGCACTGATAACTCTAAACGAGGTAGCCGATAGAATTTACCCGTTTACATTCCACAGAAATGATCATACCATAATTTAATACCGGAATCTCGGAAACAGCTCCAGCGATTGTCATAAAATTTAGTATGTGCGTATTCGGGGGCGAAAAATCGATATACCTAAGTTTAATTTTTAGAAAATGTCGCGGTTCGTGTCACGATCATTTACACACTTATTTTTTTTTTACTTTTTTTTCTATACCAGATCATTGCTTTCTTTATTTTTTTTTTATTTCCAAAATTCACGGTCTACCTCCTCCTCCGCCAGGTACTATTAAGTGATATGTTACATGTAAAATAATAAGTACATTATTTTATTACATTCTTACTTTGGTTAATTGTTTCTATTGCATCGATTATTTTCATTTTTGGTTGATATATATAATGTCTGGCTACATTATTGCATTGGGCCTGTTATGATTGTTGTGTATATGACTATATCCATACTTAATATAATAAATGTCTGTCTCGCTTTCATGCCAAAACTACTGAACCGATTTAAATGAAATTAAGTACATAGATAGTCTAGAGCCTGAGAAAAGACAAGGGCTATTTTTTTAATTGGAAAAAAGTATTGTAAAGGATAGAAAGGTAAAAGAAAGATATTTATTAAAGGGCTGTAACGCGAGCGAAGCCGCGGGCGAATAACTAGTGTGTTATAAATTAATAAAGTAAAATGTGATTAATTCCACAGGTGGTCATACTTACCTCAGGACTTGGTTGGTGCATACGATGACTGGCCGCTGGGAGTTCTCAAGGTTGTCCTTCAACTGCAGGACGGTATGCACCCAGAGGAATTGGCCGCACCTGCGCTGCAGACGCAACAACGCTATGCAGGATCGCTCCTGCTCCGATTGAGTTACTGTTGGCAAAGGGATGACCTTTTAAAAGAACTAGGTAAGAGACAAATTCCTTTACCTGTTCTATGATGGACTGCCTTCAGAATGACTCTCGGGATTTTGTTCTACACTGTAGAATTTCGTTTGGCTTTGATTTATTTATATGTTTAACATTACATATTATTGCTGTTGCACAATTCTTGCCTACTATCTTATGAAATGTGTAACATTTACGACGTTAAATCTGACTTATTAAAGTTACCTGAACACTTTATTTAGTGATCATTCTGTCTTGCATGGATGTTATTTTTCAAGGATAATCCCTAATTTATTTAAATAATTACTTTTATAACATTATATATAATCTTGACTATAGAGGTTATGGGACAGTTTTTTGTGCAACTGTCCACAAACAGTGTCTATGGACAGTGCCCAACCGAAGATCATACAAAAAATTAAGCGAGAGAAAAAAAAACAATCATTCGACATGCTCCGCAACAAACAGGCAATCACAAATTCAAAGGTAATTGAGCGTGAATTGTAATAACTGAATGGATACAAAATTAGACCATTGTTAATGCTCAGATTATCGAGCATAAGCTAAACACCCGCTGCCTAACAAGACACCTGCAGCTCTGTTCTGCCTTATGTTGTAGGCGATTGCAAAATAAACTTAAAAGTCTCTGTTTTAAAGTTGATATTCAAGTTTTCTCACGTTGAATTGGGTTTCAGATACGACAATGACGTTGTTATAGTAATTTACACGTGCCAGGAAGAGGTCGGCCAAATGATGGTGAAGGAATGGCTTCTCCGTATAAGGAGATCTATCTTTACGACTGTCAAAAGAGTAGAGTTTGTTTGTTGATTAGAGCGATAGGCTTGTTAGCAGTTACTGATGAGCTAACAGATAAGTAGCAATTGATGTGCAAACGGTGACCTCACTCAGCAATTTGACTGGTTATAGTCGGGGTAGTTTCAACTATTTTTTAACTCTTAATATTTCTAATAATTACTCAAATATCACAAATATTATATGTGAATACTTATATGTATTTTCCCTCTATTTATGTTTACTTCATTATTTTAGCTAACGTTTGATAATAATCAACGGTAAATTTTTGTATTAAAGATATTTTTTTATTATTTGCGATTCTATGTTGTTATATCTAAAATTTTTCTTTTTGTATCTGCCGCGCAAGTGTTAGTCTGCAAATTGGTGTTCGTATAAAAGTAATCTATTAATATTGTAATGAAATAAGAACTTCAACTTAGGGTTCCAACGCTATGTTAAACCTTGGTTGCTCATATACTGTGGTTTCATGACCAATGTATGAAAAATACTCAATTGATGTATATTTACATATCCCTAGACAAACGCAGCTAAATGTATATTACAAAAATGTATCAGTATTGCACTTACATGCGCAAAAGTGATATATTTTTAAAATCGTAAAAAATTTTTCATGATAGAGTGGCATTCATGTCTGCATTGATTATTTAATATAATGAATTCAATTATATTCAAATATTAATAAATATCATTGAAGTAATAAACGATGATTCATTTCAACAATTCCAACTGCGTTTCACGTATTTCAACCGAGACGACTTAAAACGTTAGTGCTAATTAAAGTTCAAAGTTTAAATGGAAACTTACCCGCAGCAAGAAATTTGATTGCGACAATTATTTAATCCCGCGATCGATAAATTAGAAAAGCAAATAAGCGATAAACGGGATTTCAAGCCGAGTTTGCTTTAATGACAATTAGGGTGTCCATATGGGCCTCCAGGGCTTATCCATAAAAGCAAATTCTTCTTTTCACCTAGAACATATACACTAGATATACAATAGACACGGACATAAAATTTCAATTGGTTTCTACTTACTACTTCTAATATTCGAGGCCCTGTCCTTACTCTCCTTACTTTTCAGTTTACTCGATACGATACTTAAACCGGGTTTTATCACTCTTATAAATATAAATAATTTATCTCTTCTAATTCGCTACCTAATAAAAAATTTTTTTTTAAACTGTTAAAATTATTTTAATAACCAATAATTTTTAAATCCTGTTTAACAAAATTATCAAACAGAGTTGCGAGCCTGCCTCTGTCTCTAACCAAAAGGGCATGAGACACAGGTGGTTTTTCATACTGAATAACTGTTCATAACTTTTTTTAGAAACTTCGAATACTACCCAATCAAGCCATGTTATCCTGGTAATTAAATAACGCTGGCGACCCGAGAGAGTCCAGCGATTGTCAAACTAAACATGGCGTCAATAAATAACGAACGGTCTGAGGTCGCTATTAAATATGCGATCCAATAACACTGGACGATAGGACATCCGTGTGGGCTAGAACATTAAAGGACCTTCGATCAGCGACATTCATTACTTTTAATTTATTACGGCCGCGCGTCCGTTACCTATTTCTTATTTAATTACAGCGAGAAAAGCCTAGTATTGTCGATCGAAGTGCAATAGATCTTGGCTTGGATAACTGACAACGAACGTTCTATTATATTCTTCATTCAATTCTCCAAATTTAACTTTGCAACATCTAAGCAAAATTTTGTTCTTGGTTATTTGCACTTCATTTAGTTGGTCCCTATATAACCTATATGTGCCCGAGCATTCGATTTCAATTTGTGTTGCTCTATTTATTTTTCTTTGCTCTAGTGGGGGGGGGGGGGGGGGGGGGGGGGGGGGGGGGGGGATCATTCATAAGGGGTCTGTGTCTGGTAAATGGGATGTTGTTTTACCATTCACTCTTAGAGATAATGCGGTGGCAGTACAATAAATTTCAATAAGTCTCTAACAATGTCAAATTAAACTATCATTTTAAATTTACGAGTTTCCGAATAATTCCACGACCATGGGACGAAATTAACATACTTTTATTTTGTAAATATATACGTATTATAAATATATAAGCACCCAGACACTGGAAAAACACTATGTTCCTCACATAATATTTTTCCAGTAGTGGTGATCGAACCCACACCCTCTGGCGCAAGAAGTAGGTTCACTACGCCAATCGAGTCGAAACAATATTATAAAAAAAAAAACACGAAAACATAAAAATGTGGATATTTCTCATGAATAAAAGAGACCATTTCGCAAGTCCTTAAATTCGCCGAGCTCGATTAATTTTTGTTTTAATCGATTCGCTTTGGAGGCGTTTACGGGCGACACTGTGGGCGTCAATAAATTAACGAGCACAATAATTTCTGGCCCGCGCTTATCTAATGCCAATAATTGTTGACATTCCCACGAAACACCTCCGTATCAGATCACGCTACCCAATAAATCCAATGCTACAGTTGTCGGGCAAAGAATGGAATTAAATGCTAATACGCCTAAGATTATCTACCCACTTAGTAAATCGCGGAATTGGAAAGTTTGACAGATGAATGTTAGCCACGATGGTTGCGTGGCAACGTTAATAATGTTTGCTTTTACGCTAAATGGTAATCTCGTTACGGCTTTACAATGATTACGTATTAGCTAGGAATACATTTACATTAGATGTAGGATCAATCTAAGGATGCGTATGTAGCGGATGCGTAGTAATCAATATGGCTGCCACAGTCAGCGCCAAGTATCCATTTAATATCTTTTAAACATACTGCTCTATGTTCCGTCATTTGTCTTAATATAAGAAACATTTTATTTCGGTGTATGATTATATAAATTATATCTTTCTATAAGAAAACTACCTAAAATAACTGAAAACATGTTAAGCATTTATGTGGCTATTTCTTCGGTGGTAAGTTTCTTACAATCCCTATACAGTACAGGCAGTCCAAGCTTCCAAATTTGAGCAAAAGGAAAGAAGAATAGTAATTGAAACATGGTTGGGTAACTTAAGTTTTGTAATAGGTCGTAATTAATCAAGTTAATCAAGGAGCTGTTTTATTCTATTCCACCCGTCCATTTAGGTGACTTTTCCACAGTCTTACAGATTACAGCGAAAGTGAAAGTCCCACAAAAACGTGCTAATAGTGTCGCGTAACGATAGACCTCCGATAACCCGGTACCGCGTTAAAAACATTGCATTGGACCATATCGTCCGGGACAACCTCACGTAGGGGAGAAAGTGCAGCGCTCGCGCGTGTAACATTTCAGAGCTACGTGAACGATTTTATCGGAATTAATCGAGAGATGAAACGTGTATGCCCACGCTGGGTTTTTAATTACTTCAGGAAAGCAACATTAGTTGTTTTCATAAGACTTAAGATGTGCAATTTTACTAACGAATAGATGTAATATCTAAAATAAAAGTAAAATATACGTGACACATTATATTTACTTGAATGGATATTAACATTAGATAAAATACAATATTTAGATAGCAAAATTTAAATGTTCCTGCAATTCAATAAAGTATCTGTAAGACATAAACGTATTATATAATTTCATTAAGCGAGGAGCATAACACGAAAACAAGAGTCACGCAGAATTATTCTAAAATATGTATGTAGCGTGATAGCTCTGTGTCCGGGCGCTCGCCTTAATTCAATATACTCGAGCAACCTGAGTTCGATCCCCGGTGCCGGCACCAATGAAGTTTTTAACTTTAAGTGCTGACTTATCACGTGCTCCGCGGTGAAGAAAAACATCGTGAGGAAACCTGCATATTTTCGAAATAATAACAAAAAAATATATTTCGAATATATGTGAAGTCCGCCAATCCGCAGTGGGGCCGCGTTGTGGACTATGCCCTGATACCCTCTGTATAGAGGAGGCCTTTGCCCAGCAGTGGGACATGTATAGGCTGTTACTTTACTTTTTTTTTATGTATGTAGAAAAAAAGTTTTTTATAGGTCAAAAGGTTTTCCCTTAGAAATTTACTTACTCTTACGTAAACGTAAACTGTCGTCAAAAGTAAAATTGTGCGCTAACGTTGAAGTTGAGCATCAGCAAGCAAATATACACCATATGCATCTAAATTAAGCGGCTAAACTCCAAAATCAGATTTCGTGAAAAAATCGTGATATACCACTTCGCAAAACCGTATGAGGTAAACTTGGTACTAAACTTTCGCTGCTGTTGCGAAGGCGTTAGGATGTTCTGCTCATGGGCAGGTGAAGGAAGGTCGTAAACGTGATTCGTAAATTGATTGTAATCATGAAGCGTCAGCAGTCACGCGATATGACGATATGTGACGCACGTCTTGTGAGAAAAACGTCAAGGAAGGCTTTTGAAGTTCTACTGTGGTGTTGTCTGAATGGGTCAACTCGATTGGGGTAGTGCCATGGCGTATACCAGTGCAGATGGAAGTATTTATAATATTGCGTTTCGTCTGATAAGTGAACTTATCAGCGGCATAGGACACGAAGCGACTTTCTTCAATTTAAATGAGTACACACAAATGTCAGGTCTTAAAGACTTTCTTGGTATACGAATTATATGAAAGTGATATATTTAAATGTATTTTGGTACTTTGAAAAATTGTTGCGTGTTATTCAAAGATTATTTTCTTCATATCAAACAAGTATAATTTTCAACAAAAAAAAAACGACTTCAAACCGGAAACTAAAAAACATTGTTGATAACTATAACATTTGAGGATTGCCCTTGATTTTTCTAGGATGCCATCATCATATCCGGGTTTCCTTACCACGGTACCACCCTTGGGATATCCCCTTTCCAACAAAAAATAATCAACAAAATCGGTTCATAAACGACGAAGTTATCCGCGAACACACAAAAAAATAAAAAAAATATATACGGTCGAATTGAGAAACCTTCTTTTTTGAAGTCGGTTAAAAACAAAATGCTTTGCATCGCCATTGCTCGTAGCAAGCTTTTACAAATTTCAACGTACAAACTTTTAGAATTCTACGCATCTGATCCAAACATCTATAATAAGTTAAGACTATTTTCGGACAAAACACGCACAGGTCACGCGCGCCAATGCAATGGTCCGGATCGTTACAATCATTACTGAGCAATGCGGGTAAATGCTAAATAATGCAGTTGCAGTCAAACATCGGCACACGAACAAGCGTGCGCACAAACACCAACGCATTCGTCTACAATCATGGCAGTCGTCAATCTCTCCCACTAAAACTAACATCCAAGATTGCACAAATAACTGGCATTAACCTTCATTACGTATTGGAAAATATAAATTTTGCCTTCGATTGAACAAAATCAACCCTTTACTGCGTGACAATAAAGCGTTTTATTCGATAACGACGCCGTCAGTACGCGCAATATTATTCTGGTTACGGCCGACGCGTTGTAGGAACGCGACTATGCAACGTACGGGCCGAAACAAATTATTTGAGTTATAGTTGGAATGATTCGATAATAGCTGTCGACAAGGACTATTCTGTGTGCGGTGGTGACCCTTGCAAAAAGCGATGACTGCTATTATTTCACAACATCCACTATTGGGTTAATCGTTGAATAATTGTTGTGCCATCTCTCGTTAGGTGGTCGTCGATGTTGAAAATCCTATTTTATCGTTATATCGTTATTTTTTGAAACGTCATCTCGTTTTTATGACATTTTCGTATTGTGAAATGGTTAGTTGGAAGTTCATCGTTAAGCTTTTAGTCTCCTGGCGTTTCGTTCTGCATTTCAATAAATGTAGTTCTATTTAATAAGTATCTTCAATTGCTGCATCAATTTTGATATTTACACTACGGTTTGTTTAATACATTTTGTCAATTGTAGTTTATAGACGTTATGGACAAAATCTATATGTTATAAATCAAAGAAACGACTTTCGTAACTTTTGGGATTAACAAAAATTGGTAGGAAGACAAAGCAGACAAGTCTTTAAATGTAAAGAAACCTCTTCAAACAATTCTGCGTAGTACTTATAAAATGTAAAGAAAGTGTTTTCCGTAAGCGCAATGTAAAAAAAACTAGGTAACTTGGTAGACGCGTTCCCCATAAATTAATAGGCACGTCCATTTATAATCATCAAATATTCAGGACAGTTAAGCATCGGCCGCATAAATCATAAGTCGCGGATAAATGCGTGGCGTTTATGCAAGAAATCTATTAAAGTGCGGAGTAAGCGGTCCCGGCTGACGTCTCGGCTCGCATTACGCGTCGGCGTCGGAGATTTATCATTGCGACCAGCGAATGCTTGGCCGCTCGACGTATGAATACTGGAAATCGGCCGCTGACTGCTATTGAAGTAATTATCCGGGATTGACCGAATATCATAGGTTAGTTATCAGTTGTAATAATTAGGATCGTGCGATTAAGTAATTACCGCTACTAGTGGATATTAAGAACATTCGACAGGTTGCAGTAGCGTTGCCAACCCTTCTTATATTTGAGTGAGGCTATTTATGAGACCTTTATTGTAAGCTAAAATGAAACAAAGGATTATATGCCAACAGATGGTGAACTCTGGCTCTGTAGAGGACATAAGACTAAGGGAAAGATTGACGTTGTTGGAACACTTTATTTTTAAATTTCTCCTAATAATTCTGTAGTCCCTATAACACGGTATACTCCTCGCACTTAAGTTCATGCTATTTAATACATTTTATTTTGTATTACGTGATTTTAAACAGTACAGTTTTATATTGAATGAATGTATTTCTTGTGTTGTATAAATATAATAAATATTTATACATTTATATATAAATTTGATAGTTCAAAATATTGTTATGAGACATCGGGACTGAAATACCTCATTGAATTCTAATAATAGAACCACTAAAGACCCTCCATGCGCCGAGACATTATTTATAATATATAATAATAATAAACAATTATGTTTCTGAGCTCAGGGTTTACTGTCAGTTCCTACGTTTTTCATTCATGAAAATTTAGAAGACCGTTGAATTGGAAATAAATACGTGGCAAATAATAATAGTGTCAACATTAACACTATTATTATTTGCCACGTAAACTATGTATACCAACTAAATACATATTAAAGTCTAAATTATTTATTTCCTGTTTCTTTGCGATTCGCGATGTCGATTCTCATCTCTAGAAGTCTTGAAATAATAATTACGTATCGTCTTAATAACGTTGTCATTACTTCTCTAACTTCTATATATTCTAACTAACTTCTATATATAAATATTATTTATTTATTAAAATATGTGTATTAAAATAAAGTTCTATGGACGTTTTTGATTACATTTTTACCATTATTTTTTTATGTGATAACCGCCGCCCATAGACTTCCGTAGCCATCATTGCAACACCCGTAGGGTTGCATACGCGTCGCCACCTTTTAATAAAGTGGTCCCTGGCTACGTTACTCACCGGACGAAACCCTATAGAACCCAACCTCACACTTCCACTTCACGCCGGTCTTCTGTGAGGTCGTTGTACTTCCTCAGACGGACCTCACCATTCATGAAACAACGAAGGCTGTGGCACAGTTAAACTTGTTGCGGTCCCTAAGTTTTATTCTCATTTCTGTTTTCTTGGTGGGAAATAAAGTATACTATTAGTATTATTAGAGGCATGACTTACTTAATCGATGTTTATTCTGGGCTTCCTTACAGCAGTCAGGATGTAGGAGGTGATACCAACTCACGCCGTGCAGAGAACTCCTGTCCCATCCAAGGTGCCACTCGCTACTAAAAATAAGACAGAAAGTAGACATATATGTTAAGATTTAGCATTTAACGGCAGCTTTTCATTGTTAAAGCTTTAAGAATGATTGTATGTCAATCCTAAAAATATTTGCCTAAAATGTTAAATGAAACTTGAGTATTGTATATATAATTTTACTTTGAATTACATTCAAGGATGAATGAGGAACGCCGCAAGATGTGTGTTCCTCACACATCTCCATTCCGCCGCAAGTGTTTTTTTTTTAGGGTTCCGTACCCAAAGCGTAAAACGGGACCCTATTACTAAGACTCCTATTACTAAGACTCCGCTGTTTGTCCGACTGTCTGTCTGTCTGTCACCAGGCTGTATCTCATGAACCGTGATAGTTAGACAATTTTCATAGATGATTTGCTCATATTTCTGTTGCTACTATAACAGCAAATATTAAAAAAACAGAATAAAAAATATTTAATTGGGGCTCCCATATATAAGACAGATTTTTTGCTGTTGATGTAGATAATGGAACCCTCCTTGCTCGAGTCCAACTCACGCGTGGTCGGTTTTTCATGTAGTTAGTTATAATGCGAGAAGATGACAAGCGAGTGGGTGTTTCAGTTGAGGTTACGTGATTTCCATCAACTTAAGCTATTGCGTTGACATTTACACATTCTTTCAACAGGTTTAACTAAATATTATCTAGTGATCAACAGTATGATTAACATTCAACAATGTCTTCAGAAATATGTAATGTCATAGACATAATAAACACTCGCCTCTATTTAATTTATTTGAATTGGACAGTTCAGCGCCGTATGAATTGGGCTCTTTCAAAACTTTTTACGTCCCAACGACAAGGCCTAATGTTTGATTGATCATTGAGTTGACCCCATCAGATATTTGCTTAGCCGTGCCAAGTTCACTTTAATTACATTTATCATTACTTTTAATCGACTGTCGAAGTAACAAATGTAACAAAACAAGGTTGGGAGTTTTTAATTGCATGCGCGCTTATTTATTCGCTTGCTGTGCTTGAGATTTATCACTGTATAATGATTCAATACTCGGAAAACATTGGTGGTTATTGCTTGCAGCAAGCGTGTTTATTATCAAAGTTTGAAACTTTGATGTTAGAATCAATATTGCTTTCCGTGGCTATTAACAATGTGATAAACCTTGTGTATGTGTATAATAAAATATTTATTGTATATTAAAACTTTTTCACCTGACGTTAAGTGATTATCACCGCCATAGAGATCTGAAACACCTGACGGATTGCAGATGTGTTGCTTATCGGTAAAAAATTAGGCACGATTCTGTGAGGCCTTGGTACTTTCCCAGAAGAACCCATTCGAGCAGTGGTTCCCGTGTGGTCCTACCAGTGGCCTACATACAATCTAAATATTCTATAACGAATAGCACAAGCTAGTCGACTAACAGACTTACATAAGCGTTTCTGAAGCTGCCTTGACTTTGATCAAATTTGAGTTTACCTAAAATTGGCTGCCACGCCACGCCGATGTCACGCCAATTATTTTAAGCATGATTTGCATATACTGAATATTCCATCGGTTTTTTGATAACAATTGTCATTAACTTCAAACAACGTCGCATGACGCGATGCTAAATGCCTTCCGCAGTTCTAAGACAGTGGAAAATCAATTGTGTAGTAGCATTTTATAAAGCTTAGACCATGGCCCATTTTTAAACGGGAACAGTACTCTAGTACCATCGTACTCTAAGATAAATGCAAATATTTGAGTAGACTTGATCAACTTAAATACCGTGATAGCTCAGTGCCCGGGTGCTCGATATTAATTTATTATTATTGACCAACCCGAGTTCAAATCCCGGTGTTGACAATGTAATTGTTAATTGCAATTTTAAGTGTTGACTTATCAGGTGTTCAGCAGTGGAGGAAGAAAATGTGAGGAAACCTAATTATTTATCGAAATAATGATAAAATACATTTTCAATATATGTGAAGTCTCCCAATCCCCAGTGGGTTCGCGCAGTAGACTTTGCCCTCATACACTCTGTACGAAGGAGGCCTCTGTCGAGCAGTGGGGCACATGTATGCTATTCCTTTCCATTTTTGGTTATTAATCATTACTTGAAAGAATACGAAAGGAAGAATAAAATACAGGCAAAAATTTTGATGGCCCGAGTCTCCGCTAAGATTTTCTAACAACACTTAACGGCATATTCAAATAATACACAGTTTGGATTCGTGCTGTTTTATTATAGTTGTACTCACAGGGGTTAGTTTTATTATATAGACAAAACTGCAAAAAATTAAAAAAATATCTGTTATTTTTTTAAATTTTGCAGCAGCAATTCCTGTATTTCATTACGTTGATATTGGTGTACGAATTTATTGAATTGATTCAGTTTACGCTTGAATTGTTGATAATTTTGCAACAGATACATTAAAACAAAAAAAAATCTAAAAGGTGACATTTTAGTACAATAATAATATTATTACGGGCAGTTGCACTTGTCTCCAAGGCATAGCAAAATATCAGTCTCTGTAAGTTTAATCTTCCTTACATGAAATACATTATTCCCTAACACAGGCAAGATTTTTAAAGTGAAACTTCTTTGCACGCATGGGAATACGAATACAATTTCAAGAACAAGCAAAGAGAAATCGTCATGAAAAACCTTTTTACCGTGGTAGGGCCACGCAATAGCTTCTGATTTTGCACGACTAGGACTCAATGAAGACCGGCGTGAAGTTTATGTAGATTTTTGCGTTTCATCTGGTGAGTGAGGTAACCGGGTCCACTTTTGTAAACATTCGGGTGTTGTTCATGGGCGGAGGTATTCACTTAACATCAGGTGAACCGCCTGTTCGCTTGAAAACTTTTGACATAAAAAAAATAATGAAGTTGCACTTCTAACACGTGTACTAAGTACACAGACACTTTATATTATCTCTCTTCTAATACATAAAAGCAAGGTTAATGTTGAGTACGTTCTCATATAAAAATAAATCTTGGCATATTGAAACGTAACTCAGTTGTACAAGCAAAGGTAAAAGACACACGTGTACAAAACAAACGAATGCTAAAGTTTATTCGCCGCGCTATTAATTATCGAAAAGATTTATGTTAGTCAGTTTCTATGTCTCTACATAAAGGGCAGCATGCGATTATATTGGAATCAATTACGAAACTCTTGGGAAAACATTAGCAGACTACGAGGATACTTAACCCTATCATTTTTGCGCAAAGATCAAATTAGATTCGTCGTGAAATCCAAACCGTTTTCAACTCGGAACTTTCCGAGAACATAATCTTCATAATTAGATCATATAATTCGAGCCTAAACTATCGTATTTTAAGTACACTACATGTTTGCTTGGCACCCTTTAAGGTGACATTGAAAATATCATTCGATAAACCGAAACGTAAATACCGTTTATGATATAATATATCGTTTTAATATAAATCGACAACGACACTTACAGGTGAGATTGAATTTTTACACATGGGAATGCCGCATATTTTTAAAACATTGCTTCAGTACCCACAATAGATTATTTGTGGAGAGTAAAGAAAAAGGAAGATTAAGAAAAATGGGATTCCTTACACAGATAAGAAGCAGATTTGAAGCTCATTGAGTGATAATTTTTCTTTATGTGAATAGTTGGTGAGCGAGCAGACGGTTCACATTAGGTGATCCGCTAAGTGTGTGTTTATCGCTGCCGATGGACATTTACAACACAGTAACATTCTTTATAAAATTGATTATTTATAACACTGGATTTAGAGAGAAAAGTAGACATATAAGAATTGCAAACAACTAATGTCATATGAGATTAAATCTTTACTATTTATATTTCACAGCAGCATTATTAATATTTTTCCTTGTAGCGACCGCATAAATTTTATCTTAAAATGGATGTGAAAAAAATGAGTATTATTAAATTCAATATTATTCATCGGCCCTACATAAATTATGATTGCTTGGACAATTTCATCTCAATACATTCGATGGACATATTTAGACATTTGCTTTAATGTAGTGAATTTATTCATATGTCTGATAGATTTATGGAAGCCGTTTCTGCGTACGCACGTACTGTATTGTCCAAGAAATGTATTGCCGCAGTGGTTTTATTGACATTTCTAATGAGGCGCCTAGCTTCATTGAAAGTCGCACAATGCGTAATGGAGACAACACAATGATGTTTACTACGGCCAGATGCAATGGTGTAGGCATTATTGTCGCTATGTCATATGCGTGATAAGTTTGAAAATTACTAAGCGACGTGCATAATGATCTAATATTACCAAAATTATATCATGATATTAATTGGGATAGTTTAAAATGTCTATTATGCAATTTTGAATGCGTCAATTTTTAAAAATCTTTTCTGCTGTCAGATATAAAGATGAATTATAGTTTTACTTTATTATATTAATATATTACCATACACAAGTTTTATTTTCCTCCTGAGCAAATGCATTGTGTGCGATCTTCACTGATTTTAAACGTGAACTTCAATGTTGATCTTCAATTGTAACTGTCGTCCGTTTGCGATAAATTTGCAAGTCGAAATGAGAGTAAAACATAATAAAACATCTGTTATTGTCAATGCTATTTACCCGCATCACATGTAAGCAACTCGCGTACGATTTAATTTACATTTGCAAACTTTTTTAAAACTCCGTTATCTAAACCTATTGTCTTGTCATGAAAGTTATTCACGTAGCAGTAAACCGTAAGAATATAACGATCGTTTCGAAACGCAGTCTCTAAACATCGGACCAATCGCGTCAATGAAACTGTTCAACCTTTGAGCCGGTAAGTAAAAAAGAAAATGTAACAGCAAACAATATTAATCATTATTTCTTAAAAAAATGCGACGTGTACACGCGTCCTGTTTATACCGCACCGCAAGGCAGCTCGGAACTCAGTCATTGTATGCAAAGACCGCTCGCTTCCGAGCAGGTGATCAGTTAATATTAACGCGTCAAGCGAGTGATGCGGAAACCGGCAATAGTTCATGTGTCTTTTGTTTCTTAGACCCGCTAAAAGATAGCTGACATCCTGACTTCTAAGTATACGTCATTGTTAACTGGTTGCTGGCGAATATTTTATTACGAGCGATGAAGCATTTTCGTATAATACAAATTGCCATACAGGAGGAGCAGCGAACATTAGGACAGTCGTGACATATTTGTATTGTATATTATTTACTGTACATATACTGTATTATAGACGAAATTTTTTAACGCTTCATCATTATTGTTGAAGCCTGTTCGATTTCAATGTTACACATAAACCACAGACTGTCTCGAAGCATAACCCAGAGCCCACCTGCATCCGTCGACTTCGTGCACTTTTGCACAGTTCGTCACTCCAATGAATATTCAGGTCCGTTCGGGTAAGTACCACGAATTAACAGAAGACCGGCGGGAAGTGGAAGAGTTATACTTTTGCGTTTCATCCGGTGAGAGAGAAGGCCGGGGACCACTTTATTAAAAGGTGGCAACACGTATACAACCCTACCGGTGTTGCAAATGTCCATGGGCGGCGGTTATCACTTAACATCAGGAAAACAGCTTGCTTGTCACCTACTCAGTATTATGATACATATGTTTGAGAGTTAAAACTTGTGACGTTTTGACTTCTTATATAAATGTAACGACTAAATTGAATGCTTTCACTATCTATACACTGAAGTTTAATTTTATATATTGAAACAAAAACGGACACCTTGCTGTATCACTACATAGAATAAAACAAAGTCTTCCCGCTGTCTGTCCCTATCTATGCTTAGATATTTAAAACGACGCAACGGATCTTGATGCGGTTTTCTTTACTAGACAGAGTGATTCAAGTGGAAGGTTTATATGTATAATACATTGCACCCGTGCGAAGCCGGGCGGGTTGTTAGTTTAAAATAAGACATACACGTGTCTTAAAACGAGACTACGCTGCATTCACTGAGTCGTCGAATAATGGAAAGGTTTCTCCGTTGAGTGACAAACATCTTGCCCCGGACGGCAGTCGGGCGTTATTTCCAGTACTCTTATTATTTCGTGGCACTGAGAACGCGGTGACGCGTCACATGAATATGAAACGCACCCAATAGAGACGTTGTCATACTGGGTTTGATCGACGGTAGCCCTCTGCGACAGGCACGCATCGATAATGCACATTGTCTCGGGCCTTCGACGGTGCTGTAGAAGGAAGTGTTCTGGGTGTGCACCCAGCTTAAGTGTGCAGCCGACCGGGCGAAGGATTTATGGCTTCGATACTCTCCGTGCCGTTCGACGCGGAATTTCAAGTATCGACCCGCTCGTGTTCGTTCCGTTTCGGCGATGTTGTTAAATTTGAATGATACTCAATTCGATTTCCAACGACAAGCGGTCGCCGTCTCAACGGGGAAGCTGGTTCGGTGTACTATGAGCTTGGAATTTCTAAAACCAGTCGCGCTATGATTGTAAAACACTATAATACCGGGAGCGCTTCTTGTGTAGATTGCTTCCAAACAAATAGTCGGCCGGTTTTCTTTTGTTTATGTGGGAAGGTGGCGAGTGAGCTGGCGATTCAACTGATGTTAAGCTATAACCGCCGTCCATGGGCATTTGAACATAGGGTGGCAGATGCATTGCCACCTTTCAGCAAAGTGGACGCCATTTACATACCTCACCTGGCGAAACGCAGAGGCATTAGCACTTCACCTTCATACTGGTCTTCTGCGAGGTCGTGGTACTTCCCCAGAAGGACCCGCCCGTTCGTGCAACGAAACTGTTGCGCGTACCGCGTGTACTGGCCCCACTACAGTGACCCACTTACTTGGTGTCTATGTGCAGTATCTTCATATCCATCGCGTGGACGGTCGTGAACACGTTGGTGGCGCCGTGCACGACGCACTCGCGCGTTTCGGGCATTGCGAGCGGCGTGCACACCGCGAGGAACACCGGCTCGTTGCGGCTGCACAGCGGCAGGTACGACACGTAGTGGCCCCGCACGAGCACCACCTGGAGGCGAGTCATGTCATTACACAACGGGTGTCAGTACACAACCGACGAACGCGTCACTTGAAACGCGACTCTCCCGTATTACAACTCCACTGGAACTAGGCTTTGGTCTACTAATAGGATAAAAGCGACACTGTGGTAGGGCCACGCAAGTGTTCTCCGTAGCACGTATACGCAGGTACGTTAGGGTAAGTATCACGATCTCATACAAGACTGACGTGAAATGGAATTGTTACACTTCTGCGTTTCGTCTGGTGAGTAAGGTAGCCGTAGCCCACTTTATTAAAATGTGGCAACGCAAATGCAACCGTACGGGTGTTGCAAATCTGCAAGGGCGGCGGTTATCATTTAAGATCAGGTGAACCGCTTGCTCGCTTGCCACCTTTCTATATAAAAAAAATATATATATAAATCTGAATTGACTAACTTTAAGGAAATAATCGCCAAATGCCGAAACCAGCCCGAAAGTCCAGGTTGAACAGTTTTACCTCCACCAAAACTGGAGGAAATAATCACCAAATCCAGCCCGAAACCTCCACCAAAACTGGAGCAATTAACTAATGTTCTTTTACGTCTGTCAAATGAATGCATGCTTTTTATAACCGAGCGTACAAAAGTCAAATGTTATGTAACATGACGTCTCAAGGTCGCAATTTTGACATGGACTGAAAAGCATTTCTATTAAAAGTGACGGCTGTAGGAGGTTCTGGTCCTAAATGCACCGGCTGGGTTCGCCAACCTTTACGGATAGTAACGTAGGACGTTGTATAAAATTTACGGTAAATCAATAAAACGTGCAAACAGTTCTTGTGTAAGATTGCCTTAGTTTGACTCAATTCTTGACAGGATAAGATTTATATTATTTTTATTTGGTTATCACTGCACGCCTTCTTTGGAGAGAAAACATTATGGAAAACAATAACCTGTTTTTTATATTCCGCATATAAAGATGACATTTTGAAACGTTGTCTAGATTAAAACATGTAGAAAAACGTTGTCTAGAGACAAAAAAAGTAATTCTATAGCAACATGCTATTTTATATGCGATTATTCGTTTACCTTAATATCCCGCAGCACAACAAACTATGGGCACCTTACTTAATTTAAAAGGCGTCACGGGCGTGCCGCATTGACATTCTTTAAAGTTTTAACAACAATGGATAGATAAGTTCGACACTATAGTTCACAGTTCAGCCGCTCACCGAGAGCGGAGTGATCTTCGATCCGGAATCATTCGGCCTTGGTCGATATATATTTTATTGTGTTGTACCGTGCCGTATTCATAGTAACAACAGTTTCTTAACTGCCTATAACGTGATATAGCCGATGATAAAATAATTTTGAATTATCCTGTTAAACGCAAAGATCTTGCACATTAGCGGAGTTAATAAAAACGGATTTTTGTTGGAATAAACGGTTTCATTATTTTATTGTTATTATGGGGGATATTCATTTGTTTTCTCATTTGATTGGGTTTATTAATAAAAAATAAACATATAGATATTATCATTATTAGTTTCATTAATATTAAGCATGAATTGTTAAAAGTTTTTCAAATTGTAAAAATTGTGCAGTAAAGTAGATTTTGAGAGCTATAGCTCACGGTGGTTTAATTATGAATGATGATTTCAATGAACTTGAATATCTATAGCGTTAAGTTGAACTGTTGATTATTATTATAGTAAACTAAACCTGATTTCAAAAGTAAGTTTAGAGTTATTTTGTGACTAGCTATTACTAGTCTTATGTCTAGTTCAGTTTTCTAAAACAAGCAATCGATAATAAACTGATGGTCCTCGCTTTGAAAAACGTGGCTAAAATTGTCTCAATATTGTTACTCTATGGATTTGGTTAAAATTGTTACGCAAAAAGGTTAATCTACTTAAAAATATATAAATTCATACGATGTTTTTCTGAGTCGTTAATGGGGAAGATTATATCTTCATATAAATAGAATATCGAGTTCCTTAATTTAGAGTAAATACCAATTGCTTCATAAGTGAGGAAGTATACTTGGTCTTAGTTGTAAAATGTAGTGGTCTTAATTTTATAAAGATCATCGCTATTTGGAGAATGATTATCTGCATAAATGACTTGTTTAATATTAAAAGAAACTAGTTTACGGATTTTATCGCGTTTTAATTTTGATTTTATGATTACTCTACGTTTCGAACCCTTTCCAGCGTTCATGGTCATGGGACAGACTACGCTACTAGAACGTTGGAAAGGTTTCGAAACGTCAGGAATCATAAAATCAAAATTTAAACGTAATAAAATCGATAAACTAGTTTCATTTAATATGTATAATATTCGCGTAAAATCAAGAAGTCAATTTGACTTTTTAAGTTTAAATGTTTTATTTAAATATGAAATTTATTCTTATATTTTTATTAATAAAACCCCGAGTTGTAATTTGATTGTAGTAAATAAAATAAATTTAAGATTCAGCTGATATAATTTTAACTCAGAGTAATAAATGGGAATTATAATGACCTTTTGTCTTTTTTTATCGGTTATGTGTTCTTATAATTCAAATGCAAAAATTGCTGAATTACATTTGATTGTGATAAACAAAATCAATTGAAATATAAATCTTTTACAAGTGATTATCATTCCTTTCATGGTGTTAATTAATACCGATGATAATATAAAAATGTAATGTAAATATATGTTAACGATAATAAAGCCTGGTGTGGTCTGGTCGGACTGGACTGGTCGTAAATAAAAAGGCGTATAAAATTTTCATATTTACGCCATAACTATTATAGCTATTAAAGTTATGTGGAATTGCAGTATCAACAGCGATCTTTTATTTTTATATTACGATTAAACTGTTCATCGTTGTTTTTCCCATCATTTTGTGTCAAAACACATTGGATTTAAAAAAAGGTTAGCTGCATCTTTATAAAACAAAAAAATGAATGTAATAGCAGATTGTTCGTAGATATTTTTAGATTCAAATCTCTCAATTATCAACATAAAATATCTATTCTATTACCTCTGCTACATTTCTGTCTCAGAACAATTCGGAAGTTTACCGTTTCTGATAGCAATTTTCGTTACTTGATTCAAATCTCTTTACTCCGACGAAGGAGCCAGACTTTGTTGTTCGAGTGTTAATTAGTTTATTGCCATTGTGTGAGTGTAGAGCGATAGCTGGCAGGCGCTTGGACATGTCTCCGCCCACCTTGATGGTTAAATGTAATGACGATAGATTAACCGGATATGAGGCGTTCGATTACGGCACCGTTCGAATTAACGCAACGCCCAAACATACGGCACCGAATTGGCCCGTGGTCCAATATCAAGGGTGTTCGCGTTTACACCGTACCAAACTTCCTGTTGCGAAAAAGTTTTTTTATGTGAAAAGTTGACAAACAAATATCGTTAATCTGATATGTGAGAAGGTGGCAAATGATATCCGATTTTATTCTTGTTTTATGTGAGAAGGTGGCAAATGATTGGCAATTGGCGGTTCACCCTGTGTGAAAGCCGCCGCTCATGGACATTTGTGACACCCGTAGGGGTGCAGATGCGTTGCCACCTTTTAATGAAGTTGACTCAGGTTGCCTCACTCACCAGACGATATGCTGAAGTACAACACTTCCACTTCACTCCGGTCTTCTGTGAGGTTTAAGTAGTTCCCCGGCGGATCTGCACATTCGTGCATCAGCGAAGACTTTTGCGTGGCCCTACCATCTGATGTTCATTATTTAGCGCCGCCCATGGACATTAGCGTCGCCAATCTACAAAAGATTTACAGTAAACTCACTCACTACACGAAAAGCGTTGGCCTTCTGTAAGACTGTGATACTTCCCTGGACGGACTTGCCCACAATTTTACGAATGCACAACAATACAGTACAGAAGGTCCAACAGCAGAAACTGCTGATGGCTTTACCCCAGTGAACCGCCTTCATTTTCAACGTGTTATAATTGTTTCAACTGATATAAATAAAGGCGTCAAATTATCGACACATGCTCCTGGGTCTATCTAAAAACTAAGGAGCCAGATGGGGGTCTGGTAAATTGTTACGAAATTTAATCATTAGCAATAACATTTAATTGCCTATTGAAAAAACTGTTTTAATCTAACACATTTGCGTATTCACTTCTCTCCAATTTTGCGCTAAATGAATAGAAATCATAAGGAAACAAAAATATCGTGTCATTTGTATATTCATTGATTGTTTCTTTTTACGATACATCGTCTTGTCGCTTGGGCCACAATGATAATCTCACTTCATATAGTTGAGTAGGTATGACAGCGGTGAGCGATCAATCGTGCCTTATTATCTCGGCGTCTGTGTCCGAATCCATCAGCCGCAGGAACAGCTCACCGAAGTGAACAATGAACCATATGAACCACTTTCTATCCGAAGATAACACTCGATAATGTCGTGACTGCCCCTGACCTGACATCGTGTCGCGTCGCCCATTACATCTGTGTCCCTCCGCCTACCTCTATCGGGTAACTATCAGCGCTCTCCAATCGGCTGTCCATCGTGCTCCGACCTCATGCCATGGCCTAACGTACGCTGGTGGCTCGATAGAGCCCAGTGAGATGTCAACTATTGCAGTACTATCCGGTGACGTTGACAACTCATATTGTTCGTATTGAATTCGTAACTCAATTGATTGTTGATGAATTGGCTCCTCTACTGAACGTGAATATAGCATTAAAACGTTCTCAGAGGCTTTAGTGGCTCAATTATAGCGGTGTAAATGTTGATTAACATTTATGCTTGATGGAGTGTTATTTAATATACAGGGAATGCTGTGATTAAATTGATCAAGCTTTATTAGCAAAGGCTGTAAATGTTTGCGACATAAAAAGAAATCTCAAAGTGATTCTGGGCAGCAAGTCTGGTTACATAACAGATAACAATTACCGAGTATTAATGAAAGTACCCGGAGGAGGTTTGTTTTTTTTTTGGTAAATCGTGTATTTTGGAAATTACATTTAGATACAAATTACTGAGTAATTAAATATGCATAATATTTTTCGATCTTACCGACGTAATAATAAGAAAATATGAACTGATGTTTTTCACAAAAGAAATAACTTTAAAAAAAAAGGAAAAAAACAAATTAACAAATTAACTGACAAGAAATTAAAAATTTAGCAATGATCAGGAATCGAAAAAAAAGTCAATGTGTAAAATCGTGACGCGAACCACGGCCGTCTGTTTTGGGGCCGCCCGATTACCGACCGAGCTATTATGACATTTTATCTTGCGGCGAAATTTACCGTCATATTCGAATTATATTTTTCATTCCCTGAAAACAGGGATAAAAGGGCATTTTTTAAAAATGAAACCTAGCTAGATCGATTTTTCGCCCCCAAATCTACGCAAATACTAAATTTCATGAAAATCGCTGGAGCCGTTTCCGAGATTCCGATTATATAAATATATATACAAGAATTGCTCGTTTAAAGGATAAGATAATTTTGATTAAGTAAGAGCTTATTGAATTATTAGCCTTCTAGCTTAATTTACTTTGCTGGTCAATGTAAAATGTGCAACCAAAATAGAGTCGAACCAGTATTACAACAAAACTATTTGTTAAAATATAAAAACTCACACTAATATTTAATTCCCATGAATTATATGTAACATCATTAATGTAAGAGTTGAAAATGAAAGTGAGGTAACATTATACAGACATGGCAGCTATACTTATTTCTACATCCGTTAGGGAGGTTGGAATATAAAAAAAAGCACAAACAAACGTCCGGATGAGAGGTGTGTCCTGACGTCACGTGTCGTGACTTAGACATGTCGAAACGTGACTCAGTTGGCCATACTTTTATATATAAACGTTTAATTTTGTCAGTTCAGTTCACTTTTACGCTCGCGCCAATGCATTTGACCTTTAGATGGCTAAGACTGAAGTCACACTAGAGAATATCCGTATTTGAGGTCTATAAGCAAGTGACTTTAAATAGGAAATGAATGCAAGCTTTATATTCGCTGGAGGATCTTATTCCTATAAAACGAGGTTATGATATTTTGTAAATTGTTGTCATTTCAATTTAAAATTTTCATATTAATTTGTCTACCGAGAAGCAAATGAGCTTCGAAAGGCGCATGTTTTCATTTTTACGTAAAAACGAATTGTCTTGGAAAAAATAAATAATAACTATTTTGAATATTCGATAGAAATAAGTAAAAATTCGCACGCGAGTGCTCAATCTCCTGTCATTAACCTTTTGATTGACCTTTGTGTGATAGTCAATTAGTGTACATACATATACATTTCTAAAGCACAAATGTGGCACCGTCTTTATGTTCACTGCTACGTTTGCATGTCGATTTGTAATGTTTGAAATGATCGTAGGCAATCCTTGCGATATCTCTATCGTTAATTAATAGCACATGAAAGCAATAATTCAATCTTAATCTTCTATTTTAATAGGAATACTCATTAGTGTAATCAAGTCCGCAATGTACAAATGTATTTTCATATCTCGGTTGGAGATTGAACGATTTACGACTTGCGATTCGGAGATGAAACTATGATTTATTCCTGCTATTAAGATTTTCGGCGGGTAGGCATTAACTTTAAAGAGGCAAAACAAAAAGCTTACTTATAAAGGGGTTATTTAGAATATGAATGCTCCCAATGCTCACTTTAGAATATATCAGTACACATATAGCAATTATGTTCACTAGTATTGGTGTTATAAAATATACTTCATCAACTTGTTCTTATAGTTCTTTGCTCCATATTAAAACATGGAAACTGAGTGGAGTCAGCACGCGACATCTGTAATCCGATTGCTTTTTTGCTACACAGGAAACCGGGATCGTATTTTTACACGTCATGGTATAATCTTATATAAGACGGGTCGTGCTGAATTAATTTGGCGTTTCGCATCTATTAAACTCAGCAGTACGATCCCTGTACAAGATTGACAGTGTACGTAAGCAGTGCGCTTTGAAGTAATCATGATCTCTTCCCAATTAAGTTCTGTTTATTATCTACTTTGAAGTGAGTACATGGGTGAGTATATCTTTCATTTCGCCGATCAAGATAGATTGAAATGAACCATAAAAGCATTTTGATTAAATTCAGTTTTCACTTCTGGATTTTCCTCTTTCGTACAGTTCTCGGATCTCGGATTTCAAGTACTGCACCATGTAACGTACAGTCATTAGATGATGTGATATATATTAGGTTTGTTGAAATTGTGCAAGAGGCTATCATGAGTGCGTGAATCCAGTGTCTGCCAATGTATTAGGTGTCGCCACCGAGGGAGTTTTAATGTTTGTCTTCATCTTCAGGTGATAAGTTCCTGCTTCTGCTTCGGTTTCTCGCGGATCACGAAAATATATTAAAAATCTCATTGGGTGCCGCCATAAGTTGTATGGATATCACAAAGCATGTTGCCACCCATCCCTACCATCGTAACTGTGTTATACCATCTTGTAGTTTGCTGGTTTCTGCGCTGAGCGCGCCCATTTGACCCAATATGATCTGCTTATTCATGCTGGATACTGGGTCTTCAATTACTTTAATATAGACTCGATATATTCCGCGCAACTTCTGCCAGCACCTCACCTCAAATATCGTACTGCTTTCGAAGCTTCTTGAGCTCCATATTTTGGCCGAAACAAGGAGAATATCGACGGCTCCGTTGTGTCTCCTCAAACATTGTATGCATGCGTCGATGCTGCATTATCATAATTTACTTAATATCTTGCATTTGTGACATAAGAATCAATTCATTCACTGGGTCGTGTCGTATCTGAGAATTCGGCCACGGAGCGCACGCGCCGCGGCGGCCGTCACGCAGAACGACGGACGCTGAAAAAAGAACACTCGGCGCAGCTCACGCGAGGATTATGTATTGAACGCATCGACCGAACGGTTTTGATCCGTTGTCTGCTGAACATAACGACTAGGGTTAAGCTGGCAGGGTATAACGCATCATTTGTCACTCCGCTCGCGTCAGTGAAGTCTCGTGAAACTCAGAACGAATTGGAGAATGTTAATTTTGTAATTTAATAAAACATTATACTAATGTATACATATTTCGTTTACATTAAATCTATATAAAATTACATGTTATCTAATAAACCTTGTCCACGCGGCATGGTGCCAGAACGCTAGAAACCCTAATTGAATTGTGTTATAAAGTTATATAGGTAATAGGCATACATAACCTTCTAACACTACTTAGGCAATAAAAAACACATCACAAAGAGCAAGAGTATAGTCTCGATCGCAATTGAAGTTTACGGAAACCAGCATCACTCCTATTTCAAATCGTATAACAATACAATGTTATCGGCACGCCATTTAAGCGTGTAAAATTCATAGAATATCTACGAGTACAAACGCAGCTGCGGTGCCGCGTCCTCACGCAATCGACCGCCCGTCAAGGCCAGCGATGAGCGACGCACCGCATGCCACAATGAAAGAAAACAGAATGGTCGTACCCATCAGTTACACCGTCACACGTCAACGATCGTATACAGTATGCAAATCCAACATCTCAATATAGGGAGCAGTGGCTCGCGGTTTTGTTATTACAATCAGATGAATTTACATTTTCATAAATAAATGCATCGCAGCCTGCCTAACGACGCACGGTGTACGCCGCTGTTTCTGCGAGTTGTCGTCGCCATTTGAATTTCTCGCTTGGTGCCGTTTGTTGTTTACGACGGCCTCGGCCCGGGTTTCGTTCGGTTTCGGCTGTTTAGCACCGCTAATGCAAAAGGGAGCACAAGCGCTTCGACTTATATCCATCATCGTGAGATTGGTAGTCCATTTACGAGATATACTGAATCGTTAATGAGCCCAAACTATCCTTTTTGTTTATCGAAGTAAACGTAACAGGTAATACTTGTTTCGTTGTTAGCAAACGATATTTTAAAATCATTTATAAAGGCAATAGGAAACGTACATAACCTTGATCGTGCCATCTGCATCGTGTAGTAACTTAATTTTGAATAGCGTATGGCTTAGTCAGTGACTCAGTGGCGCAGTAGCTAAGTTACTGGCTTCGGCGCTTAGGGTCGTGGATTCCTACACGACGCGAGTATACTGTGTCCCACAGATAATTGTTTCGAATCTGAATGCTTTTCGCAAGGAGGCTTGACGTCAAAGGAAAGGAGAAAGATTTTTGCTTTCTCAAAATATAAAATGGCATTGTAAGTATTGCTTTTCCTTATAAAGTACGGAGCTATGTAAAATACTATTACAGATTCTCACACAGTATATCATTGTTATTGCAATTAGTTGAGAGTATTTATTAAAAAAGGTATTATTTAAGGTAACCGACATAGCTCAGAGGATTAGCAAGCTGAAGTGGCGATGGGCCGGCCATATAGCTCGTAGAACCGATGACCCTTGGGGAAGAAAGGTTCTCGAGTGGCAGCCTCGTACTGGCCATCGCAGTGTAGGACGACCCCCCTCTAGATGGAGTGACTACCTGTGCAAATGTGCGGGGAAGTCGATGGATGCAGGTGGCTCAGGATCGTACTTCGTGGCAGT